TCAGGGCTCATACAGTTCCAGCAGCCCAAGGTCGGTATCTGATATTGATAAGTCAGGGTCCCAAGCAGGTAATAGCAGTTCCGAAACAGGTACCCATAGTAATCCTGGAACTCCAAGGCCGATAACTAAGGTTAGACCGGTCAGAACTTGCCAACCCCCGGATTGATATGGAAGTTGGGTAATTTCCCAACTCGCCACACAGAGACCCAATAGTGGAGAAATATTTGTATAAAAATTCACAGTTTTATGCTCCAGGATTCATTTAACCATGTGGTGTATGTATTTGTAGGAGTTTACCAAATTAAACCTTAATATTAGGTAAAAGTTGACACGAGTCGCGAGTCTACATAAATTGTTATTCTATAATGGTAGATGGACTCCTTATTCATTGTATTTGTCGTAGGGAAAACCTGGATTCCCTGGAAGTTATAGCCTTCTGTATTTATGGTGTATTTTAAAACAGTCATATTTTATTAATTGTGTATCTCCGGATTACATTGTGTGGGGTACTCTAGTTTGGAGAACTGTATATTTCTACTTTTGTATATATATCTCCAGACTAAAATTGTGGGAAAAAAAGGTAATTTTAGTCATAGGCCAGATCTAATGTTGACTCGGATCTACCCCAGTGAGTGCAATATTTTATTAATATTTTGTTTCCACAGTACAACTAATCTGATACTTTGTTTTATATTTCAGATTAATATACAAATACCTGATAACATATTAACCATTAATTTTCTTTTATAATTCTTTGATTTCTTGTAGGTAGTCTTTGATTTAATTCAAGACCATGTACAGTGGCCCCGATACCATAGGAGCATGTTGTTTCAATACGTAATTATGGTAATTAATTTATCATTAGATTTATTTTATAATTTAGTAAATGTGGGACACATTTTCCTTAAGGAGGGGAGTCTGTAACCCATGTGGTTTACGGAATCTGTGTACATATTCCAAGCCTTTACATACATCGTACCAATGTACCTGTGTTGTAATCATGTAATCATGTCAAGTGATGTCCTGTGTACATGTACATGTGTATGTTTAGTAAATATATATGACGTGACCTATGACACTGACGACTACTCATCACCAACACACTTACCACTGCACCCGGCATGCGTGTCATGGGCATTCCTGCCACTTACCCCCCTAATACCGCCCCGATCCCTAAACAACCCGTCACTCGAGCTCTGACCATGCTTGCGGGAGCTGCTATACTGCTATACCTGCAAAGGGAACTTAGATAGCGACTGCGGTGGGAGGCCTGGTAAGTGATATGTATGTGTGTTTGAATGTTGAGAGCGAGGTGCATGAATCGATTTGGTGTGCCAGTTGTTATATGGTCCGTTTTAGTATTGTAATGTTATTTGTTTTGCCTTTATAGGTTTTCTCAAAATATATGTAATAAAAGTACTGGAAACAAGAACCTCGCATGTGTTGTTTATAACGACCCTAGTGACACAGACAGCAAGTGTCAGGAAAAAGGAAACAGATTTTGCAATTATTAAGATATTTCAGTTCTGTTAATTGGTATATAAACTGGAATAATTTCTACATATACCTATACAAAAAAGTTTTTTCAATTTCAAATTACAACTTCATTTTTTTGTAGAATCTTATTTTTTTTTTTTTAAATTACCAAATTTTAATATTAACTGAACATTTAATTAGCTTTAAAGCATTTTTCAGCTTTGATTTGGACATGAAATAATCAATAGATAACAGTAAAGACTTGCAGTGAACAATCACAGTGAATGACACCCACTGGACTAACTAACAGCCACATGTATACATACACAGACTATCCATGCCATAGGCAGGGGAGTTGGGGGGGTTCTCTTTAGGCCTTTATGTTTACTTATGGGGCTCTCCCTGTTTCTGAAACACCTTTGATGTTATATTATCAAACAGGCAATGATGTGTATATCACAATGACCAATCAAATGGTCAGCTTCAGTTTGATTTTTGTATTCTTAATACATCTGACTACTTCTGACTGACCACTGCTGACCACTACTGACCATTACTGACCATTACCAATATGAAGGGAGACAGAAAGAGAAGGAACAATTATTTCAAGCCTGGAAATGTTCCAAAGAATAAGGGCCAGGCATTTAAAGATGAAGATCCGGAAGTACCTGTCACCAGAGAAGAGACACCAGCTCTGACCAGAAGACTGACCACCCAGGAATTTCAGCTGATCACCAAGCCTAGTCCTGACGGCCTTTCCCTGGTAGCAACAGATACTGGAGACAGACCATGTCCAACACTGATACTATGGCCAGCAACTGTTACAGCTGAAGAATCCAACTCTGAGCCTGTGATAGAAGGAAACTGGATCACAGACATAGTGTTGATGGTGAAAATGTGGAACGACATCATTAGACTTCATGCTAGACAACCTAACACTACATCATGCATGGTACCAGAGTTTGGACACCGAGCGGAAAAGGGCTCTGGAATGGAGTTGTGCTGTCCGATGTAATCAATGCCAGTACAGATCTCCACTGTATAAACTATATAGAGAGGCAGACATGGATATGCCCGGACCAAAGCCAGCCCTTGTAAACAAGTACCTGCCTTCAGCTTTGTATGGCCAGGCTGTCAGCACCAAAGGAGCCAGGTTACTTCTCGGACACCTGAATATACCTGCAGGAGCCAAGAGTGGAATGCAGCGACAGGTAAATCAAGTGTCCAAGGACATTACTGTCCTCAACAAAAAGGACATGTCCGAGAAGACCAGACTGGTGGTGGAGGCCAACACCCTAAGAGGAGATGATTCCCCGAGCACCATCGGACTAGCTGTGGATGGGCGGTACAACAGTACATCATTTTGAAGTGCTAAGAAGCCAGGGATGAATGCCTCACAAGGGTTAAGTCTGGGTATCGAGACATCTACCCCTAAGAAGTGGATACTTGGACGTGCCCTCCACAACAAACTTTGCTGGACAGGTGCTTGGCTGAGAGGGAAAGGATATGATGTCACCTGTCCTGGTGGTCATCCTGACTGCACAGCCAACACTGACCGATACGACGGCTGATCCGAGTATGCCATGGCAAAGGACATTGGGGATCAACTAGCTAGACATAGACAAGGCGTGCTCATAAAATATGCAACCACAGATGGAGATGGAACTGGAGCCCAAGGCCTGGAGGAAGCCATGAGAGCCTAACATCCCATGTGGAAAGTGGAGAGACTGGCTGACCCAACCCACCTAGGCAGAGCACAGTTCCGGAAATGTAACAGTGCTAAGTGGAGCGAGTCAATGTTTCCTGGTCGTACCAGACTGATGAGGTCTCATGCTCAGAAGGTATTTTCTCAAGACTTGAAAGCCGGGAGCAGTCTGATTTTCAAGGAATTAATGAAAATTCACTCCAGAAACATTGAGATTATCACGACTCGTTTACCTGCAGTGTTAGATGCTACTGTATCCTGCTACACAGGTGACTGCTCTAAGTGCAAACAGCATTCCGTGGTGTGCTCTGGTGGTGACAGCGACAACTGGTGGGTGCGATCAATGTTCCCGAGTTCAAACCAGATCCATCAACTTTGAATGACAATGGAGGACGAGATGTTGGTGTTGGAGCTTCTGAAAATGAAACTCAGCACTGATGTTATTCGGCCTATGACATATTCCATACGAAAGTGTACCATTTACTCCCATTATAAAAATGTTTTTGAAGTGAATATATTTCATTTATTTTTAACATCACCTGAAAATATGACCAAAATAAATCAATACTATGTAAAAAAAATTATCAAGAATCAATAAAATCAGCATTTTATGATTAAATTAAATTTTCCATGTGCTAATGTCATGTTTGACGGAATCTTTGACGGATATTCTGACATTAGCACTTGGATGATATACACATTCATATGAATCTCTTATAAGCTTCAGTTTTAAAAATATGTTTTAATAAAAAATCTAAAAATTTGACATTAAAACTATTTTAAATCTTGAAGCTTTCTTATATCAATGATGAGATATTGTGGTTTCAAAATTGTGCTAATGTCAGAAGTTGACGGAACAACTTGTTGCTAAGGTCAGGTGATGACGGAACAACTTGTTGCTAATGTCAGAAGTTGACGGAACTATTTGTTGCTAATGTCAGGTAATGACGGAACAATTTACGCTAATGTCAGGTGATGACGGAACTCTATTTTCAGGTTTGTTGTTTGTTTAGGTTTAACAGCCCATCAACACAATTGTATTGACAGAACTTTGTCAAATTCATGAAATTCCAAGATGTATAGTCATTAAGATCTTGTTGATGGAGATGGCGTTTCTGAGTTTAAAATAATACATTATTAATGCATTAAGCAATGCTTGATATTGTACAAGTTGTCGCACTCTTTGAAACCAGATTTAACCTATAAATACATGGCTGGTGTTGCATGTGAGGCAGGCATTATTTACTCTTCCAGAGCACACAGGCTTGCCTTCATCGTTTTGAATGTCTATGTGTTACCCATTATGTTTAACTTCAGTATGTTGATGGCTGCATCTGCAGAGTGGAATGTTCTTTCATATTGATAGAACGTATTCGGGTTGTATAGCACAGTTTCAAAACAGTAAAAAATAAATCCATTTTTATGTATTTCTTCAAAAGTTTATTTCCAATTTATGAATTTCATTATTTCTTCTGTTCTCATCTTCACACCATTTCTGCAAGTAAAAAAAATGAGAAGAATAAGTATGTAAATTTCAAACACAATTCATACAATTTAGAGCCCTATATTGAATAATTTATTTTTGGTAAAAAAACATTGTTGAAAGACTGAGAAAATTTTGCACTTATTCAGGGATTAGGAGACAGTATTAATATATACAGTTAACAAGGATAGGTACATGGTAAGTTATGATTATAAGCAATAATTGATTAGGAACAAACTTTAAATGAGGTTTTAGATCCAGTACCTTCACATTCTTATAATGCAATGAGTCTTACCAAATTTGTATAACATTCTGGATCCATACATCTCAATTTGTGGGGGGTCCAATTTAGATAAAATATCAGCGGTGATGATGGCATGCTTTAATGAACCCATCACCCAACCCCCTCTTTTCTTCTCAAAGAATGAGACAAACGGCCATTCCTGCACCTAAAAAAGCAACATAAAAAACACTTCACAGGTTGCAAAATTGTTTTCCTGTAATGGCATAGTTATGTTGAAATTAGAACACAGCTGGAAAATTGCACATTTATATGCTCTTCACATGTACTGATAAACTTTCTGCGATTTTAAATAATGGTGACTTGATATGTAAATTGTAAAACAATAAATGACCATTCAAAAATCAGCAAGAATTGAATTGTATGGGATGTTAAATATTATTTGATCGCAATAAATTTGAAAAGCTGTCTCCAAAGTAGAACTCTAAAACACAGTTTTGAAATTGACTAAGATTAATTGTTATAAAACACTATGCCTATATTATTCCACTTTATTATTTAGTTCAAATGTTACCAAATATAGTACTGGGTGGCACCATTTTAAATAATGCAAACTAAACATGAACTTACATTGATCTCTAATTGTTTAAAATTGAGGCCAACATTAACTGTACATACACTAAAAGCAAGACCATTAAAACCCTTTTCCCTGACTGCTAGGGTATAAAATTGGAAACAAATGAGAACAAAGAATATACAAATGAAATTGTAATACAAACTGAAAGTACAATCAACACAAGAGCAGACTTGAAACAAAGGCAAGATCTACATGGAGACTTCCTGCAAAACTACAAGGAGAATAAGACCAGAGGTTCCAAAAGAATAAACATCTTCAATGATGCCACTTGTCCTGTAGATCTTTAGAAGTCTACTCAAGTGAAAAAGTAACCATAAAAAACTGGAGCCAACAATATACTTACAACAGCAGGATACGATTTTTTGCCATGAGCAATAAGTAAAAATTGCCCAGTGGAATAACTGGAAGCATTAATATATAATATATCTGATATCAAAATATTAATTACTGCATAGTCAGCGTTTATCAAACTGACAAAAAAACATCAATTTTTTTAATCTGACTTCGTATGATTCATTGTTAATTTCATGTGTTCACTTTGTTAGAATAATAACAATATATATTGGTTTTGAGTACATAAAGGACACAACAATTATCTATCATGAGATGGTACTGGTAAAAGATGTAATTGTGGGAGGAGACACCAATTACCTGTTGTCCATGGTTGCTTGATTCTGTTCACCCACACTTGCTAAATTCTCATCATCAATGATTGCTGGACTCTGGACACTTCAATTACAAAACATGACATCATTGTAATTGTAATCCTTCATTTTAATTCACAAAGTAGGATGAGGAATGTTTGTCTTACTCAAATAATGATTGACATTTTGTCTTAATTTTGGTGTATGGATTGGATATTGTAATGTACATTAACAGTATCTAAACTCAGTTACATATATTATGCACTGTTGCATGCTTTCACAATGCTTTGCTTTTGATCTTCACTTGACATCTAGTTAGTTTATGATATAATTTAATGTATATACATGTACTCGGAAATTTTCGTCACTGGATACTTTCCCCCTTGGTAAAACGCAAAATACTTTCATCTACTTTAAAAAGTTGTAATTAGAAAATGAACTTTTCTCCTTCCTGTTGTATTCTCTCCATCCTCAAAAGGCGAAAATATCCAGGTATACAGTATTTACTTCACATGTTGTAGTATATGCACCATCTGATCCTTAGACATCCTATGTAGTATGCTAGCTAGCTTGTAACATATCTGCATGGTGTGCGTTGTGTGCGTATGGATCACTAACCAGTCAATCCAAGCACAATGGAAACTGGGGGTTCTAGCTAGTGCTACTAAAATTTGAATGGCTATTTTCATACAGCACTTATGATATAAAAAGGACTATAATATGTATGAATACACTAGTAGTGTACTGAACTAGTATGGTGATCGGCATTTCAAAATTCCTTACAAATTTCAACTGTTCATAGATATCTTGAGCAATTTAGTCAGGTCATACAGGCACATTATAAATCAATGGTTTTTGTTTTTGTTCTGTGTCTACTTACTGTTGGTTTCCCTGATAGGCTTTTATTGGACTCTCCGTCTCCTGTGAACTGGCTATTGGGCTTTCCATTGCCTGTGAACTGGCCATTAGAATTTCCATCTCCTGTGAACTGGCCATTAGACTTTCCATCTCCTGTGAACTGGCTATTAGACTTTCCATCTCCTGTGAACTGGCTATTGGACTTTCCATTGCCTGTGAAATTGCTGTTATTGGACTTTCCAAAGACCGTGAACTGAAAACAAATCAAAATCATTAGGTATAAAAGAACAACATTTATTAATATTACAATGTACTGGTATAAAAACTGAAGGATTTGTAAGGGTGTTAAGGTAGAGAAAAATCTGGCAAATTAATGAATTTATCTTTTGTTCCGAGTCTACTTACTGATGGTTTCCCTGATAGGCTATTATTGGACTTTCCATCTCCTGTGAACTGGCTATCACTGGTATTGGACTTTCCATCTCCTGTGAACTGGCTATCACTGGTATTGAACTTTCCATCTCCTGTGAACTGGCTATCACTGGTATTGGACTTTCCAGCTCCTGTGAACAGGCTATTACTGGTATTGGGCTTTCCATCTCCTGTGAACTGAAACCAAATCAAAATCTTTGTATAAAGGAATAACTTATATTTATTGATATTACAATGTACTGGTATGATGATTGACAGATTTTTCAGGGTCTTAAAGTGGAGGGGAAACTGCAATACACGGAGAAAAATCTCAATCAGTGCATGCCTACCCTTTTGATTTTGATGTTTGGCTGTTTGTACATCCCTACCCTTTTTGTATTTCTGTGTGTACCTCGATTAAATGCCTATTAGTCAAAATATAAATATAGTACCTATGATTATAAATCAATTATTACTTACTCAGTAACTGTCTGAAGCAATGTATCCAGGAGACTGTCATCCAACTCAATATTTTCATCAGAGTCATCTGTGAAATTCTCATTCCGACCACAAACTTGGATGAGAGGAACAAAGTGGTTTGGTATCCAATTTTCCTTTTGTAGATCTTCTCTAGTGGATGTCCACATAATGAACAGAGGCTTCCTATGTCGCAGAACAAGAGGGTTGATTTCCCGACCTAATACTGCTTTGGGTACTGGTCCCCCCAAGTCTGGATAAACAGAAAAGACTGTGCTTCCTAGCATATCAGCGAGTGCAAAGAGCTGCCATATTCCCATGTACTCTTTGTCTCTAACAACCGCCATAGCTTCTGCTCTAAAAATTCTCTTAATTACAGATGGTGTGATTTTATCGCCTGCCGTGTACAGTTGAGACATCATAGTGTATGTGACACTTAGATGATCACCTTCTCCTTTGGGAAATTCCAAGCCTTGTTGTAGATTGTCATTGTTGGTATACAATTCTTCCCCCAGGCACATGGCAGTTACAATCCTAACTCTTATCTCTTCATGGTGTTCCTCATTGCCAAAACATGCGACACTGACCATCTTGGGCAGACAGTTTCCATCACCTGTAATTCTGACTGGCAATCTGTTGCTTAGATCATTATTTACAGGCAGTAACCTTAGAGCCACCTTATCAGCAACCAATTTTGATTGGACCACTGTTACTGTATCATCCACTTGTACATGGCATCTTCGGAAATATTTGTCTTCTGTTAAATGTAAGCATCTTCTTTGAAGTTCATCAAATGATGATGATTTCTGGAGGCTGGAAAGAGTGTTTCTGAAGAAAAGCACACGTTCATCCCCTTCGATGGACAATTGTTCAGGTGTTACATTTACCAGTTGAAGTGCTTTTCTGGTCCTTTTTCTTGTCTTCTTTTTTGGGGATGGTTTCTTCTCCTTGGTGCTCTTGGCTGCATTTTTACTGGAATTGTTTTCTTTGTTGGCGCTTTGTTTCTGACTTGGTTGTCTTTTTCCTTCATCACAAGCACTTTCTGTAATATTCTTTGAACTTCCAGGCTCCCCTGAATTGCTAGTGAGGTAAATTTTTTTGAAAGGGGCAACAAATTCTTTGTTCACACAAGAATATCCTTGGCTGTCCATCTGACAAGACTCGCAGAAGCAGGAAAGATTTCTGACAAGTAGTGTTGACAATTCAGGTGAGTTGTTTATTATTTGGTGAAGTTTCCTTGTTCCTTTCACAGTCTTTGTGTGGTTCTCCTTTCCTTGCCTTTGGATTTCTGATTTTGGAATGTAGAAAAACCTCCTCTTGGATAGACAGTCATCAATTTCTAAGTTTTCATGGCAGTACATGTACATATCCAATACATTGTTTATAACCACTTTTTTACCTGTAATAGCTCTATCTAAGGCCCTGTTTACCACTCCGATCTCTGCATCACAGTCACCTTTTCCATGTTCAGAGCCAAAGAAGTTCCTGTTCACTTTTCTGTCCATCTTGGCCAATATTCCAAAAGGTCCTCTTGACTTGAATTGTGCACTGCAACCGTCACTAAACAAAATAGTTTTATCTGGGATTCCTATCCTGTTACTCAAATCCATGTAAACTTTCTCCTGAAAATAATCCACAGCATGATAATCATGGTTTAGATCATCAGATATAACAATGTCTGCTTCTCTGACAACACCTTGTTGAGTGTGGTAGTAAGAAACAACAGGATACATAGTGATTTGTTCAACAGTATAAAATACTGACTTGATTTCTTCCTGATACTTAATGCTTCGGTTTTTAGCAAAATCTACCACTTGAAGGAGGGTTTGTTCTGGCAAGGTATTCTTAATCAATGAAAACTGAAAATCCTGCCATTTTGCAGTGTGTAGGTGGGAAACAAATGTTGTTCCTTGTGATGGCTGTAAGATGTCTTGAATGAATTCCTCCAATATTACCCTTTTTTGTCCACTCTTTGTCTTGAGTATCCTTTTCTTTTGCCCCTCTTGGCTATGGTACTCCCATCTTACCCATGTGAATGTTTTCTCCTCAGGGATGTCCATGTAGTAGTTTTTCAATGTTTCTGCAAAATTATTGCATGCAGAACATTCTCGGTTGACACATTTCTGTTTGAAAAATTTCTCATTGTCAGACTTCCGACAAAGTAGAATGTTTAGTAATGATCCTTCAGATGACACCTTTTTGCTCTTTGGACAACATCTATTTAATGTTAATAGTTTATTTCTGACGTTCATACAGTAAACGCAACAGCAATACTCTCGAAACTTTTCTGCAAGCTTTCTCACATTTCTAGGTCTTTTGGCTGCAAAACGCCCAAGTCCAACTTTGACTGATGATTCTAAATTGAACTTAGCATGGGCCTCACTGATGGAAATTTGCATCAAATAACCAGGACCCTCTTTGGTGGCGTAACGTTTTGTTGGAAGGACTCGTGATACATCTGATCGTTTATAAAACTCTTTTATGCAGTTATTGACATCCTGTGATTTTCTTTTCTTTTTCTTAGTTTTCTTTGTTAGGTTTTTTCTGTCAATTTTCAGTTTTGTAGCAACTGCGCGCTTGCTAAGATTTCTGTATCTAACTACAAGAGACCTTGCCAAGACTACCAAGGCCTTTTTTCCTTTAGTTGTCTTCTTCATTTCCTTTAGGCCAGCTTCTGGAACATGGATGAACTCATCAGCGATGGTTTTCCTTACTTCTTTTTTCTGCTGTGGACTGGAGTTTTTGATTACATTGCGTAAGATTGTGGCAAACTTCTTTGGGGACTTTGGAAGTGTTTTTCTTACATTAGATGTAATATTCCATTCACTCTTTTTTGTTCTGAAGGGTGTACTGGATTTATCCTGCACTTCTGTAACTGTTGCCTTGGAAATATTTTTTCTCTCTCTTGATCTACGCTTTCTCTCTCTGTCTTTCTTCTTGACCCATTCTTTCTTCTGGTAATTCATTCTTTCACGTTCATTGCGTTTTGCTTGCCGATTGTACTCTTTCCTTTGCAGAATTTTTGCCCTGGTTTCAATAATACATGCATTTTTCTCTTTTCGTGATTTCTTTAAGTATGTTCCACTCTGTTTTCTTCTGTTTTCATATTTCTCTTGTCTCTTTCTCTGCAACGAAAGGATTCTTTCTTTCTCTTTAACCACTTCAGGGTCTGGATTTGTCTTTTTAAGTTCTCTTTTTATTTTATCTCGTTTTTCTTTTACTCGCTTTTTTTGCTTTTCCAAATAGTGACGATACTTGACAGGATCAGCCTCTTTAAGCCATTGTCTATATAAGTTACTCCTATGTAGTCCTGTAACAGGAAAAAAAATAATTGTTAAATGACAAGGTTTGGATTGGCCCACATACTTAAAATAAAATCATATATCAGGTCCTTAGGTAAAAATTTACTTTCAAGTCAAAGGTTTTATCTAAAATAGTTTATATATATTTCTACACTGTGCTTTTCAATTTCCCTAATCACAGAAAGCAAAATTTAAATAAAATTATCCTTTTTTATAGTGCTCTCGACTTTTTTGAGGTGGAAAAAAATCTGACAATAGGTAATAGGTTTCCTCTGTCAATATATTTTCAACACATTCTGTTGTAAGTGTGACAAGAACTTATTCATCCTTGGACCAAAATGAATCAAAAGGACTTGTAAGCTTGAGTGAAATTACGCTATTCCACACAATCTTAACCATGTTACACAGTACAATACAAATAATGAAATCACTACACGGATGAATTGCATATTTACCATAACTCCTGGTTAACACGAAATGTCTGTCATGCATTTACATTCGCACATGATATGTCCGTCACTTATTTACGTTCGCTCATCAAGTGTCCGTCACTGATTTTACGTTCGCACACTAACCTTGTATGATTCACCTCCAGCTGGCGGTAAATTCAAAGCACTCACGAAAATATGTCACTTGAAAGCGTAATTCAAAATCCTGCAACGTATCAGCCCCAAATCATCGTTTAATGATATTCCCTGTGCGAACTGTCATTGATGCGAACGTAAAAAAAGTTGACAGAAAAACCAAAACATCAAAAACTCACCACTGAGATTCTCCGTGCCGCTAATGACAGCTGCCATGTTTACGGAAATAACACAGCACCCCCTTGTGTCGAGACTTCGATGTGAATGAAGGGCGGTAACATATGGTAAAGTGAAAAACAAAATTTGCGAACGTCGGAAGATATCGCGACACTGTTTGACAGAATTTACGTTCGCACGGCTTTTGGAGTTTTTAATCGAAAAACTTTAAAATTTAGTTGCAATTGGGATTATTATAAATGAAGGCAAACACACTAACTTCGAGCAATAACTGTGATTCATGTCCGGCCAATCAATACCAACGTTTGAGGGGACAAATTGCGAACGTCAGGATTGCTGACAGAATATTTAAAAAAACTATCACATCGAAGCAAATTAGCTTTTTGATTTTATATTGATCTTTTTTAAAACAAAAACATATGAAAATACGTATTTTTAGACCTTGTGTATTTTTTTAATGAACAGCGATTAAGATTTAGTCGGAAGAAAAAACTTTAAAAAGAGCCTGGAAAAGTGTTACGGGATAGACGGGAGTTCAGTTCCGTCAAAAAACGCTTCATTCTGTTTTTATTTTATTCTTGAAATGATTTCATGTTTCAATATTGTATAAATCAATTGATTTTCTAGATAGAGATGATAATGTTTTTGCTTAAAAACCACAAAAAATTTTTTTTTTCATTTATTGGAAGAAATATGACAGTTATGCAAAATGCAGCACATATGGTACCCTTTTGTATGGAATATGTCCTATGAGACTCAGCACATCCACACAGAAGAACGAAGGTTGTCACAGAAGCCTGAATGTGTCCTTACTAAAACATCAAAATTTTGGAAGAAATGCTGAGGGGAGGTTAGGCAATGCCATTCTGACCCAAAACAACACTGCAGAGAAAGCCATTCAAAAGAAGGTTGAACACTTTGGTGGTACTCTGAGTAGGGAGGTCAAACAAACTTGATAGACTCAGCTCAGAGGAAATATATTAACGCCAGCACCAATACAAACCTGCTGTCAAGAAAAGAAGTATGTTGTTGTTAGCAGAACAGCACAAGCAGCATGCAAAAAGGTCCAGGTCCGCTTGGAAGTCTGACTACAGGAGAAGTCAGCTAGATCCCAATATCCATCTATGTAGGGGAGACAAACGACAGGACCACATGTATTGAGAAGAGGTGACAACAAATTTATTAGAGACATGTCAACAATCGGAAAAAAACCCCAAATAATGTAACAACAACATCAACAACAACAATATATATGACTACCTAATGAGGGAACCTCCACGTGGTGGTAGTTGGACAATGTTGTATACATCAGTGTACAATAGCTAATACCCTCAAATCAATAAAAACTTAATTAAATTTTCAAATCCAACATGCAGTCACTGAACCCTAAATAACCATAACACACATTTGAATTTGAACAGTACTGCCTATTATTATTAATAAAATGAGGTTCTGAACTTATGTGCTCTACATTTACACATAAACTATTA